CGTGCAGATTTTTCTGCACGCGCTTGTACTTTTCGCACAATTGGCGTAATGCGAAAATGGCATCTGTCGTACCTCGACCGGGCATGAATCCGAACTGGTTTTGTGTTATCTCACACTCTTCTCTCATTCTTCTCTCTATTATTCTTTCCCAGACTTTCATCGTGTGTGACATGAGTTTTATTCCCCGGTAACCGCTGCAGTTTTGAACGTCTCCTTTGTTTTTAAAAATGGGGACCAGTATACTACTGCACCATTCCTCAGGTATTTGTTCTTCCTGCAACAGTTTACCGAAAAATAAACTCAACCACTTCCATCCATCCGCACTCAGCAACTTCCACACTTCTACTGGTATTCCATCTGGGCCGACCGCCTTCCCATTCTTCATATTCCTAACAGCCATTTTTACTTCTTCCACACTAATTTCTCTCACTAAGCCCATATTCGCTGGTGGGTTTTCAAGCATACCATTCCATTCATTCTCCTCATTCATCAATTTCTCAAAATACTCCTTCCATCGCTTCTTTATACTTTCATCGTCAGTCAAAATCCTTCCAGAATCATCTTTTATACATTTTACATGTGAAACATCTATTCCATTCCTTTCTCTCGCTCTTGCAATTTGAAAAAGTCGTTTTTGACCTTCGGGGCTTTCAAGGGACCGATATAATTTATCTTGCGCCTCTGCCCTACAAATAGCAACTTCCTTCTTCGTTCTCTTCTTATATTCTTTATACGCCCCTGTCTTACTTTCTTTTATGGATTCATTCTGGTCTTCTACGCTCTGCCATTCTTTAAAGGCATTTTTCTTTTCTCTCAAAACTTCTCTAATACTTTCACTCCACCACCACCCATCCTTATCTATCATACACTTCCCTTTTGTTTCTCCTAACACCTTCCTTGCTACACTTCGGATACAATCAGCCATTTCCTTCCAGCACTCACTCACACTCATTCCTTCCATATCACCCATCTCTATCATCTTGTTTACAACTAGCTCTCTAAATTCACTTGCATATTCCTCCTTATGCAACAAATGCCACTTTATTTTAGGTGGGGGACGATCCTTATGTTTGTTGAGGCGAACAATTAAGCAGATGTCAGCCAGCAGAATTCGATGCTGGGATACTAAGTCTTCACCTGGAAGCACTTTTGCAGTTTTTTACACTCTTGATTTGGTTCCATCTTATCAGAAAATAGTCGATCTGTGTCGCGTGGTGGCCACTTTTATAAGTAACAAGATGCTGATCTCGTTTTTGGAACCACGTGTTTACTACAGCCAGGTCGAAAGCACGTGCTGCTTGCAGAAGAACTTCCCCCTCCCGGTTCCGCACTCCGTACCCCCATCCACCGTGTACTCTTTCATACCCGTCATTTACTCTCCCTACATGTCCATTAAAATCTCCTCCCATATAAACATCCTCACTCTCAGGTATTCCCATCATCATACAATCAAATTCCTCCCATAACTTCTCTTTCACACTCTCTTCACAGCCTGTTTGCGCAACATACACACTTACAACATTCACTACTTTGTTTTCAATCATTAATTTAACAACTATCATCCTGTCATTTACTCTTTTCACATCTGTCACTCGTTCTTTCATTCCACTATCTAACACAACTCCTACTCCATTTCGCTTCCCATCACTTCCACAATAATAAAACTTGTATTCTTCCCCAATCTCTCTTGCTTTATTGCCATCCATTTTGTTTCCTGCAAACAGGCAACATTCACTCTTCGTCGTTTCAAAACATCTGCTAACTCTCTTCCTCTTCCAGTCATCGTACCTACATTCCAGCTTGCAAACCTCACTCTGACATTCTTCTCTCTCCGGGCTCGCCTTTTACGTTGCACCCGCTCCGTAAGGTGCGACAACCCAAGCCCACTTCCCACAGGAGCCGGGTGCTGCCCCTGCGCGTCGCCTGCGGGGTACGCCCTAGCCCTGTCATATATCCCACAACTCGTACTATTCATAGGTTTACTGCATGGGATTTGGCAAAACTTTTCCAGTCGGCCGCCTGCCTGACACCAACCCTCTTTGGGTATGCTATTGTTGGTAGAGGAAGCTACCATTTTGGGAAAAGGAAAAAGAAGGTTGGGGGTAGGAGCGTAGGTGTAAGGGTACTGTTATCTCGGCAGGAAAGGTATGAGAATAACAGTAGCTCGGGGAGCCGGGGTCGCGTACCCGTATTCCATAACAGGATCACCGGAAAGGTAGACCAGCATGAAAACCCCCTTACTATCCTTAGCAACATTTCGATATATTTTGTAAATGTTGAAGTATCATCACCTTTTTGTTGAGATTTTAATGCTTTCAGGAAATCAATTCGGTTTTCATATCATTCCTTCAAAAATTTATTAAGTTCATCATCTTGTTTTTTTTCTCTTTTATATATATATACTAATAATAATATGCACAGTATAGTGATAAAGGAATATTATGTACTGACTCGTCTGTGACTTCGGGAGGAGTATCTTGACGTCCAACTTCTTAAGAGGTATTAGTATCTTGGTTTATTCCAATGGTGGAGATGTGTGTATGTGTGTGTGTGTGTGTGTGTGTGTGTGTGTGTTTGCGTGTGATGTGTGTTTTCTAAAAACCTTCAACGCTCATAAAATTGCCACTTTGAATTTTTAACTGGTGCTGCAGATCTCGTCGAATGTTTTGTTTGCGCTTATATCTGTAGGAGTCCCTGATAAGTTTCAATTTTGACGGCGTACCGAATCTGTAATATACAATAATAATCGCATCGTCCGCCGGTGTCTTTCCCTTTCCCCTTAACAGTCGGCCGTTTGGTCTTCCCTGTCGAGGGCTTCCATTTGGTTGAGCTTTTATTTATTTATGTATTTTTTGTATTATTTTCATTTATAATTATATATTTATAGAACCCAACCAGATGAGAACACTGTATAACACGTAACATAACTAACGCACTTTGAGAAAGTAGTTTGTTCAGAATCGTTTACTGAATCGATTCCTATCATTTTTAATATAGGTAATTTATAATCCCAAAAATAATTAAAACTACGTAAATTACAGTTACACTAAATCTGTACAGTGAAAACAAACTGAAATGGACCGTAACTTAAGGCAATAAGACTTTTAAGAGTGCAGTTTTATTTGTATTATTACTAATTCTGTCATTCAATAGAAATTATGAAAAATTTACTTTATTTCAAGCACGTTAAAGCGTTTGTGTGCGTGGATTTTTACTGTGACCACAACATTCTTCTGGAATTAGTATAAATATTTTGATAAATAATCAGTGCATAAAAATGTTTAACTAAAAATTCAGTGTATGTATTATGATTATAACATAATATATTAATTGGGGTATCTGAGGGTGTGTGTTAATTACGTAACATATTGTATATATACCCTAAAATTAATAACTTTTTATCCAGGTTCATGGCGAATAGAGAAACATATGCTTCGTTATCATTCGCATTTCGTATTCCCCTTCTTATATTTCACTAATAGTCAAAGAAGTGTTAAAAAGGACATTGCTCTACGCCCATACATTGTTCGCCCTGGAACCAAAAGCATCGGAAAATTGTGTGTTGTATTGTCGATCATTAGTGAGTACCTATATGATCATATTTCTGTAGCGGACTAGCTGCAGAAAAGATATATCGTCGGCCAAATTCGTTAACCTGCTAAGTCTATATTTTAATAGTTTACAGGACGAAGAAAAAACTGAATAATATCTGTACTAATTTAGTAATCCAAATTCTGAAAATGCCGTTGGTGTCTATAAATGTTCTTCATATATTAAAAATGTAATTAGTAGCATAACTTATACAAATTTTATGAAATTCAGGAAAATAATTATTTAGCATTTTTTCGAGGTGAAGAGGACTTGACTTGGACTTTGCAGTGTTTGACTTAAATTTAATATGGTGTATAGGTTAGTTATTTTGCAGTGAAACTAATTCAATCAGTAATCAAAATTAAAAATTAAAGAATCAGTCTTCTTTTATAGGAAACAGGGTTATAATATTTAAATAGACTCTTTTTATAAACAATCTGTAATAGTTTTAATACACGTTATTGAGTGATTCCACCATTTCGTCCGAAACGGGGCAATTTCGTGGAATATTTATTTTGTTTACGGTTTTGAAAAAAATATGTATTAAATTCTTCGTATAAGTTGTAGATACAGGTTACTGTGAAAGGCATTCGTGAAAATAATTTCCTTATCAAGAAAATTGATGGAGTGTAATGAGAGCGTGGAAGGTAATGAAATATAGTGAGAGTGTAATGATTAACTTTGGAGGGTAATGCAATGTTATGAGAGTGTAATAATTTAGTTTGGGAAGGTAATGAAAAGGAGTAAATCCTTTATAAATGTTATGTTTATCATTGACAATGTATGTAATTTATCTGTGGTGTGTTTAATTAGGGAGTTAGGTATTATAGTCAATAAATGAAAATCATGAAATCAATAGAATTTTTAATAAATGTTAGAAAATTTGAAAAAAAAAACAATAACAAAGTATGACAAAGATAATATAAAACAATATCAAAGTATGAGCCTAAGATCTTTGTGAGAATGAGAATAACAACAAATTAAACATAGGTTCAATGTTATAAAGAAAAATGTAGACTGGAACATACAAAACACAAAAACGCTGTTTTCATAAAAATCTAATAAAATATGGTATCAAAAAATTAAATGGCTTGTTTTTCTTTAAATCACATAGATAATGTACTCTTTATTAATCATATAAGTTACGTTATGTCTAATCAGTCTACTTGAAATTAAGGTTTGGTAACTTTTTAATAGTAAATTCACCTCTTCTGGATTCTTCTGGTTATCCCAAGTGCTGTAGAATACGAGATTCAGATACAATATCATCGTCGCAAATTGCTGGCCAATGGAAATTTACCGACTTTCCATGCCCTTTCCTTAAAAATAATATTTTATATTCAAGTGTGCTACTCATCTTATCGATGATTTTGCCAACAAAATACTGTGAGTTCTTCTTCATTTTATATTCAACGACCACCCATTGGTCTGTCATATTTTAATTCAATTACTTCGACGTTTTCTTTGGTTTCGATGTCGTAGTCCATTCTCATAGATCTATTCTGATCACGACCGAAATCAGATTCGATTATTAGCTCCTCAATATCATCCTCGAAATCTTGAAGAACTGGATGTTGAATTAACTCCTTAAATTCTGTTTGCTTAATGGAACTAAATCCTTGAATGTTACAATTGTGGTACTTTACTGGAATGTTGGATAAAATTTTTACTTTAGATTTATTGTTTATATTTATTTCCGGGGTCGAAGTTTCTGATAATAAATCGAATGGCTTCAAATCTCCGATGTTGTTAAATATGGTTGGCGAATCGATGTTGATTGGGCTGTTAACGTCAGAAGGATAATATGTTCCACCATTAGTTCCATCAGTCAAGGACTTCATCACATTTACAACGTTATAGTTATTATAACTAGACATTTCTTGTGCAGTTGCTTCTTGACAAAGTCCCATATTTAGTACTCCGAGATGTTTACATGCTATGTAACTATCTAGACAATCAAAACAACTAAGGCTTCTAAAAGTAATGTCGAATGGCAAAGATGAAGACCAAAGAGTTTGGTGGACTTTGATTGTCCCTTTAAATGCAGGAATGTTTTTGGGAAATTCTTTGTCCGTTATCTCTTCCTCTGCGATGACAATGAGCTTAACATTTGCAATGTTTTGCTGAACAACTTGCACAAAGTCTTCAAATGAGCCTACATCGCCACCCAGTCTGACGTAGTTGTCAGCTGTTCTTTTTACAACAGCACCAATGCCATCTGGGGCCCCCTTGCCATGCCCTACTTCTTGATAATTCCATGTTATTAGCTTTAGGTTCGAAATTTGATCTTTCAATTTCGACATCATGTAAAAGATGAATCGGTTGCGGTATTGACTCGAGGGAGTGTCCGATAAGAAATGAATTGTTGTAAGATGTGGCACTAAATCTTGAACCATATCCAAAACTGGGTCCAAGTGTGCCCATATAGCGGAAGCATCGTGTCTATTATATCGTGTCTATATATTTTTTGACATGGTGCAGAATGACTTACAGGTTTTTTCTTTAGTTTGACTGTTTAAATAATATAATACTCCGGTGTGAAATGAAATTTGTTGACGACTACCGCCGAAGTGAAAACTTTGGATTTCTTCATTATATTTCAACAAATAGTTTTCACTAAAATCCACATGGCATGATACTTCATTAACAGTTATACTCTCTTTTAATTTTTTAATAGCTGAGTATTGCATATGGTTAAGCAGCTACTAAACACCAGTCCAAATCCGGCCGAAGGTCCAGAAAATGGTTGAGCGAATACTAAACACCAGTCCAAATCCGGCCGAAGGTCCAGAAAATGGTGGAGCGACGAGCCTAAGGTTACCGAATTTCTAATACCCCGGTCGAGCGTTAAGCCTATTACGCGAGATGTTAAACCCAAATGGACTGTATACGCGAAATTGCTTCTTCCGTCTTCACAAAATGGTGACTATAGCCCGCGGTTTCCCATACAATGCACTCGCTCTTCCCTAAACGAACTATTGCTTGCCAAAATCTATGATGGAAACACGCTTGATTAGGAGAAAATGAAATTGGAGCGGATTAACTAATAAACACAATTATATCAAGCAGGTATGAATATGAATTAGGGTGGGGTTCACTCACCGGGGTGTTGTTTATATGTGGCGTGGGCGCCTTGTTGCTGCGGTGCGACTTCTGGTGGATTTTCCTGGGGCCCCAGAGATGCGTTCCTGTCCGGTGATGCGTCGGAAGAGAGCGGTGCGCGACTATATCTCACACGAGGTGAGGCGGTTTCTCCCGGAGCTGACTACTCCGTTCTAATGCGGTTTAACTAGCGGTGCGCGTGGGCAAGAGTCTTCTAGGACACTACTGTCCTAGGCGGTGTGGTTCCAACGAAGAGCGCGAATGTAAGAGAGAGCCCGTGGGTCGCGCGCGCGTTTATATTGGTTCGGTTGCGAAGATCACGTGACATTCTAGAACTATCTTCTTTCCCCTCTCACCCCACCACCCCGGTGTGTCGAAAGGGACAACAGGTGAAGGAAAGGTCGAATGAAGGACAGATCTTGGCAAGTATACCTTCTAATAAAATAAATACGAATGGTTTTCCGCGCAACCATCTCCCCCGGCTTGAAGGATTTCCTTCAAAATAACTAAAGCAACTAGAGCTAAGATCAAACTGACAAATAACTAACTAACGCTAAGATTAAACTACAACCTAAAATTCAACTACAATTTCTAATCTAGAAAGCTAATTTAAACTATGTGCGAAGGACACAAACGGATTGTGTTACTCGACAAGACCTAAAGTCCGCATTTTCGGAAATGACGGCTTCGGACGTATTCAAAAGCACGCTATACATCTGTGCATCCGATTGCGGATTAAGTTACGTGCGGAAAAGAATCCAATAATTCTGACGCAAGATCGACATCAGCAAGGCGGGGCCAGCGTGAGAATTCAATTTATGATGGTAATCAACTAATAAATTCATGACATGGTCTTTACGCGGTAAAACTATAGGGTGCCGTTGGTCGAAGCTCAACTGCGAGTTGGACAAGCGTCCACCTACCCTTACAATTCCATCCTGTAAAAATGGCTTAAGGCGTTGAAAAGCGCGATTACAAGCTCTATTCGATTGTAATCTTGTAATTTCTTCAGAGAAATGCGCACGTTGAAGTTCACGCAATACCAGCAACTCGGCATGGTTGTAATCGGACGCTAAGATATACGAACGTCGCGGTAAAAGCTTTGCGAATCGACGAACGTAAATTACGCTACACAATAATTTCGACCAAGAGGACAAGCGGTTCGCCAAAGCAATGATTGGAGAAACCTCGCTCGAAACGCTTGCCACCAGAGCGTGCCTCTTCTCTTCCGGCGGTTGTGACACTGACGATGGGTCGAAATCGGTTATTGGCCATTGCGAGGGTTCCAAGTGAACCCAAGAAAGTCCGTGGAACCAAAGCGGATGGTCCATTATTTGCATCGGGGTGAGTCCACGGGATAGGCAATCGGCAGGATTTTCCGTACCGGACACGTTATAAAAGTTCCGCGTTCCTAACTCGTTTTGGATCTTGGCCACTCGGTTCGCGACAAATGTATCCCAACGGTGGGGTGAAGAATGAACCCAACATAAAGCGACGGTTGAGTCGGAAAAGGCAAATATCCTTTCTATGTGAACTCTGTCCCTACATGCGCTGATAACTGCGGTAATAAGCTTGGTGAGTACTAATATTGCGCAAAGCTCTAAGCGCGCCAGAGAGACAACCTTACGGGGGGAGACTCTCGACTTAGAACTAATGAGGCTAATCGAATTTCTACCATTATTCTGAACGTGGAAATATACAACGCCCCCGTAAGCCTTCTCGCTGGCGTTTGCAAACCCAACGACCGTGATGACGCTATTTCTATCGACGTTTATATGACGTGGTATTTTAATTTCTCTTAGTAAAGGAAGTTCTTCTCTAAAACGCTGCCATAACCGAACAATGCTGTCAGGCGGCGAGTCATCCCAATCGCATTCAAATAACCAAAATTGTTTAATCAAAAGCTTAGCGTATAATACCACCGGAGCTACGAAACCCATGACATCCCATATCTAGCAACGCATGACAGTATTGTGCGCTTTATGCACTTCTCTTCGGGTGGGTTTACCTTAAGGCTAAACACGTCGGACTCTGGTGACCAACACAGACCGAGCACTTGTGTGTATCAGAATCGTCAAATTCCTTTATCGCCGAAAGACGGTGTGATAGTGGGATTGTGTCTAAAACCGGACGCGAATTACTAGTCCACATGACAAGATCGAATTGACCCGATTTCATGAGCTTTATAACCTCGGCGGTTGTTAGGGTGGCCTCCTCCACGCTATCGACCGAGTACACAAAATCATCCATATATAATTCACTTTCAATTGCCCTCTTAGCTTTAGGATAAGAGGGACCTTCATCGTGGGCGAGCTGTCTCACCGTGCGTAACGCATGAAATGGGCTCGACTTTAAACCAAAGCAAACGCGGTTAAATTCAAACATCATTAGAGGTTCCTTTGGGTTGAAACGATATAAAATTCGTTGGAATCTACGGTCGCATTCATGGACCCCTATGCATAGAAACATTTGGCGAATATCGGCGGATAGTGCTATACTAAACAAACGAAAATTGGCTATTATATTAAATAAACTGCCCTGTAAATTTTGCCCACTATAGAGGATATCGTTAAGCGACAGGTGAGTGCTAGTTTTAGCACTAGCGTCGAGCACTACACGTAACTTATATGTAAGTTTGTCCTCCCTAATGACCCCGTGATGTGGTATGAAATACGACGATGTGTCTTCGTAGTTATCTAATTTCGAAGCCACAAGTGATATGTAACCTTCCCTTATATCGCACTCTTAATACAATAGTGACCGAACTCAAAATTGGCTACTTTTGGGAATCAACGAAAATGTAATTGCATTTCAAATTTTTTTTTTTTCAATTAACTATAAAATGAATATTTCTAGTAGCTCGTTAAACGGAGTTCTATTGTTAAAATTTTTGAAATGTGTTGTTTACTATGACATAAAAAGTTTTTGTTTTTAATAATCAGTTATTCTGTAAATTAAGTTTGAAAACAGTCTTTCAAAGATAAGTCGTTGTTAAACAAAACAATCACACTTAATAATGACCGAATTCAAAATAAGTCAGTATTGTATTAATTTTTTACGCTAAGATTGACCTAATGAGAAATAAGTTTTTATTGTATTAAAATATGCGGTTGTAAAATCCACTCATTAAAACTTACGTCTGTATACTATTAAATTATTACATTCATATTATTATTTACCTGTTTTTTGCCCTTTGTTTTTTTGTGTTTTGACTTTTGTGTCGTTTTTTTTTAGGGGGGTTCTGGTGGGTGGGGGGGGGGTTGGGGGGTTACCTAATAATTTAAGGTAGGAAATGAAATACTTTTGCATGTTTTATATATTTTTAATTATTTAAAATGCTCAGTTATTAAACATTGAAGGGACTTACTGCCCATAACACAAAAAAGTTAATTAAGACATTAATACTTATATAACTAAGGCTTTATAGTTATTTCAAAAAATGTACAACTGTGTAACGAAATGAGTATCAAAAACCTATTCTATCCATTGTATTACAAATTAAATTATAAATATAAGATCAGGAATGAGAACTTTATCAGAAATACTTAATAAGAGACCTTTTAAAGAAACAAAAACATACATTTTACTTAATTATTTATAAGATTTATCCGTAATATTTAGTTGTGTAGCAGTTACTTTCTAATAAAGTACGCAGTGTATGTAAATTGTAATAAAAACACAAAATAGTTGCTTTTGGATGTATCAAAAACAAATAGTCTTAGAGAACTTAACCTACATCACAAAATAGTTTCGTTAAGGCACAAATTTGAGAAAAAAAGTTAAAGATAAAAAATTATTTAGCATGTAAAGTGACAGCTTTCCGAAAACTAAAACCAAAATTTCTCGGGAATGAACTTAAATTCCCAAGAAAAGTTTTTTGGAAATATTGGCTTGAGTCCATGGGTATGTTTTCTTTTTTGGGAAAACTACGTCTAATAAGTACTCTGTATTTTTATAATTAAAGTTATGACAAATAACATTTTTAAAATAAATCTGTATAATATTTGGAGAAATACGGCGGCACAACCTTTTTTTGAAATAAGAGTTTGAAAGTCTTTTTTTCTTTCTGTCATCAAGCTCAAACTTTTTGCTATAAGCCTTCTCAAGGACTAAATTTTCAATTGATGGCAAGCTTTTACGCACATTATATCTTACGTTAACCTCTTTGTATTCTTTATCTTTATATGAGGTTTTGTAGTAAAAATGTAAAGGTTTATCTTTTTTGAAATCGAATTATTTTTATATCGTCCCAACATACTTGACTCTCTTCAGAATTTTTATTATAGTTGACACC